TTGATTTAGAATTGAAAAAAAACCTAAATATCAGATAGATGAGATTTTTAAATCACACGGCCGCCAAGTCTTGAGGCTCCCACCATATCATTGTACGTTAAACCCCATAGGATTAATCTGGGGAATAATGAAACAAAAACTTGAGGGTAAAAACGTCAATATACGTGCAAGTGATATAAAATTTTTAACAGAGAAGAGATTTAAGAAGCTTACTCTCAAGTAGGGATTGATGAATGGCGAAAATCTTGTGAACATGTAATAAAAATTGAAAATCAGTTCATAGAACAAGATCAGTTAATTGAGATGCAGGAGGATATGTTTATATTAAATACTGCGTCTTCCTCTTCATAATATGAAGACTTTTTTATGGATGTGTAGTATTTGGAACCATATTCAAGTCCTAATAGCCTATAATTAATTAATAAACTCATGAACAGAGTAATTGGAGTTTTCATCTAAATTTCAAACCCCACATTCACCACTGTAAAATTTTCAAAAATTATCCTTGATCATTGGATAAATATTTATATTTGCATGTATCACACACAATCAGCCGCTTTACGGGAAAAAAGTATCAAAACGTTTTACTCCAATTTCCCCATTATTGCTGGCGTCAATTTCTTTTTTCCCTTTTTGCCATCAGATCCTGGTAGACCTATACTTACCGATGCAAGGTTATGTTTGGTTCTTTACGTTCACTATAGCTTTTACAGGCAATTATGCAACAATTCACCATGACTGACACTTTAAATACACCTCTTATAAGGATAAAGTCTTAAATTAATATGGGTTTGACCTGGGTTTCACAGATTTATGACAACATTGTGACAAATTGGTGTCATTTTGTTTACCACCAAGCGCTCGGTGGTAAACAAATAAAACCCGATACGCAAATAGGGACAGAAAAACTGATACTCTGTTTCGCTCGCACTTAAGTATTTCATGTTAATGCCTTCTCTCTTTAGTTATTATTGTTATTTTAGAAGCTCATCTAGTTCTATACTCTATCTACGGCTTGACCCCACTAACTCATGATAAAGCGTGCGCTAATGTCATTCCCAGAAAAATTCGTTTATGGTCAGAGTATTTTATTAATCCTACTGACTATCATTGTTAACAGCTAAATGAAATTTTAGATTCGGGTTTCATTCAGAATCGAGACTTACCGCGAAGTTTGACTTCCGTATGTCAAAAACGTATTGGATTCGACATACATAATTGATAATTATTTAGAGTACGGTTTCCCATTGAATAGGTATTTGAATTAATTTGGGATCTAATCAGTAAATAAGAAGTTCAAAGTATAAAAACCAAAAAACGATCTCGAGATAGTACCCTCTAGCAGGGGAGCCCAAGCTGGGATTTCGGGATTTAGTACAGGGTGGAAGATTAATATACAGGGGGATACCTTGTACCCGGTTAAGTACCTCTACCAAATATGAGCCCAATATATATGTTCACCCGTCAAGGATAAAGGATCAGATTAGTAAAAAAAATTTATCATCAGAAATTCACGCGCGTCAGATTAAGGTAGGGTGAGTTAATTACATGCTAAAAAGTGTATATTTCACTAATGTGACAATTTGCAAGTCACTAATGTGACGAAAAGAAATGGAGGGCTGCAAAGTTGTAAGGGTGCGTGTACTTATGTACGCGCGTAAGAAGTTATACTTCTTTGGCATTATTAAAAATAGTTTTTGATTGCATGCAAATTATTAATTACAATTAAATAATCAAAGACTGGAAAAGGAGTCATTATAGTCAATAAAGTTCAGTTTACATTTGAAAAATAAATAAATATTTATTATTATTCTCTTACATTAAGTGTAACATAAATTCTTTTATTATTCGAATGTTGTTTTTAAATTATGTCCAATGCCGTAGCATCTTCCGTGGGCAACTTCATTCTGTTAATTTAGTGTTACGGTGCGCGCGCATCGTAAAATTTCACTCTGAACCATTTTTCATAACGCGCATTTTTCTCTATATAAACTTCAGAGTTCAACTACAGTTGTCTACAAAATAAAAAATTTCGGGATGAACACCCCTTATAATTAAGGGGTTTGAAAGATAGATAGACTTACTGAATGTGCATAAAAATTTCATAAGAATAGGTCTAGCTGTTTCGGAGGACTATGGGAACGAACATTGTGACACGACAATGTTATATCTATAGAGATAATTCTGCTGAACGTTTGTATGTCACTGAACGCCTCTTAAACAGCTGGACCGAATTGAATGATTTGATTCGGTACTATCAAACTTCGTTTAATATACTAATCGCTTGAAATATCATGTAGGACAACGTCTGCAGGGTCCGCTAGTTAATATAGAATTTATAAAAAATATGACTTGTATTTATTTTATTATCTAGTGTAACAAATATCTTACGTATTCTTGAATGTTATGTTAAGTTTGAGCAGTGTTGGCCTAGTGTCTTCAGCGTGCGACTCTCATCCCTGAGGTCGTATGTTCGATCCCCGGCTGTGCACCAATGGACTCTCTTTCTATGTGCGCATTTAACATTCGCTCGAACGGTGAAGGAAAACATCGTGAGGAAACCGACATGTCTTAGACCCAAAAAGTCGACGGCGTGTGTCAGGCACTGGAGGCTGATCACCTACTTGCGTATTAAATTGAAAAAATGATCATGAGACAATTTCAGAAATCTGAGGCCCAGACCTAAAGAGGTTGTAGCGCCACTGATTATTATTATGTTGGAAGTTTATTCACGACAAGTATAGTTGTTTTAAGAACCTTCATAGGAAATAATTAAAATAAAATTTCATATTAATTACTGGTAGGTCATAATTTAATGCATTTTTATTAATAATAATTTGCTTCTGCTTGACTTATTTATATATGACAAATGGAATATTGTTCGTTATCTAGATTAAAAACTATTCTGACAAACTATTTTAAACAACTTTTATATTAATTTATCATAGCATTTGTACAAGGATTGCTTTTTCTACCACGCCTTATAAATTATGACTATGAAAATAGGTATCTACACAGTACATACAATTACAAAGACACGCTCAAAGATTCATAAATTTCCAATTATAATAAGCTATGAACATAAATTTTAATTAAATTGGACTTATTTGGGCCATAAGAATTAATTTATTGCACTATGCACCAGTCTACCTATGAGATGTTATGTATATATATTATGAACAAATTCTTAAGACCCAAAATATTTTATTAAACTTACATTATGGAACACAATTAATTTGTAGATATAAGTAAACAATCTAAATTGACAGTTTAAGTTAGAGTAGGTATCTCATACTAACCAACTAGTTAGTGAAAATTAAGTCTAGCCACCACACACTAAACAAGTCCCGAATAAATAAAGGCCACTCACAAATATGCCACTTTAAAATTTACACAGTGTCATAACGGCCATAAACTGGCAAAATAATGTGATACTGCTCACACGCAGCTTGAAAGGTACAATTTTGTTACATTTATCTTTTTCGTGACATATTTTAATGTGACTATTTTGAGATGCCAATTTTTTTGGCAGTTGGCATTTATTAGTTGAATGTCATTGTAATCAGTACACTAAAGAACTATTTTTAATAAATAAATTTCAGTCTGTGTGTGGTGCCAGTATTGCCAATAATTAGCAACATTTGTATCTGTAATTTTTTCAGGTATTTTTTGTCAAACGAATCCATGAGTATCATGGATTATTTTCGTTCGTATGCAGTTTGACGCATACAATAAATTAAATAATTTTTCCAATGTACCTAACATTAATACATTTGACTATTGCTGTGAAAAAGCATAGCACCATAAACTTACATAACATTCGGACCAGCAAGCGGGGTGAAAAACACTTCATGAAATTGCATTGCAATTTGACGCTGCGGACACCAGTGAAATAAATACATACATACTTTACAATATTTATATTAACATGCATGTACAAGGAACTAAAGTCTAGGCTCAATTTCCTGCTCATACCTTTGAATACATGCATGCATATAAACATTGATCTTATAACTAATTCAACCATCATTAAACAATGACTGATTGTCGTCTAATGCAATCTGCATTGATAACAATACTCACTATCAGTTATTATTGTCAGTACATTAGTGGCGAAGGGACACGCAGACGTGAGCATCGGACAGACGAACGAAGCAAGTACAGTACGTTGCGAAACAATTCAACATAAATATGGAATGTAGCAAACACTCAATTGAAGTGACCGCCATTGTGACGTCGGTCACCATTATTCTAGTATTAAATAAGACAAAATATTTACAATAAAATAGTCAACTATGCTTTGTAAAGTAATATTCCTTGCCGTTACTGTACTGATATGCATTATAATTTTATACACCTTTATCGTTACAAATAAATATAAAAGTTGTTTAAACAGAGTTTAGCTGCTGGAGTGAAATAAACATAGGTTACTTATACGCGTTACTGTACATTGCAAGACGATTAGCTTACATTTGACTGACCTTCACAATATACTATATCATCAAAGGTTACATTTCAAAGATTCATTAAATATTATATAATTTTAATTGTTTCTATTTGAATTAATTTTATCTAAGACAACATAATATTATCATTTAATGTAGATTTTAAAGTGTTATATTTTTATTATATTTCAGTCTTAGTTTTTAGAAAACTCAAAGACAGCGCGAGGATCACGGACGCACACTTCACGTTACGCCTTCCACACCTCCCACACCTTCGACACGAACGGCGGGCGGTGAGGCCTCGTCGTTTCATAAAATTTCAACAGAAACAATCATCCCTACGTCTAACCGATTAAAGTACGAAGACTAGTCGCTCTCCCGGCGTCGTCTCCGTCGGCGCCGCGGGACTCCGTCGGCCGGCCCGGCGCCGCCCCCAAATAAATAAATTAGCAAGTCTATAATACTCCGAGACGCGAGCGCCCGCCGGCGAGTCTGGTCGTCCCGATAATGGAATGTAAGCGTGATATGGTAGAGAGGTGCACAGGTGCGGCGACGTCACGCGTCGGGCGGCGGCGACGGCGCGGAGCGACGCGGCACCATCACGCACGGTGGCGGAGCGGCTGACGGCAGCAGCGACGCCGGCCGTGCACCCATGCGCACCCACCAGCGCGTGGCTTTCTGCAGCAGACCGTCCTTCTTGCCCGCCCCGCGCCGTCCGCCCACCGGCTCCGCCGCTCCCACCGCCCATTCGGGCACGTCGCTCACACACTTGTTCGGCGGCGGCTGGAAGCTGCTTCTCGTCAGCTCGGCTTGCTGGAACACCACAAACCATAGTTAAATAAATGGACATTGATCGGTGTGTGTCAAGGCTTATCGTAAAAAACTATATGTTTCGTCGTAATATCGAAGGACGAAGATATCATATCTAATGTCTGAATAGTTATCGTCGGGACTTTCTGATACGGGTAACAAAATATTTAATGTTTCCTTTCAATCTCAGTAGGTTGCGAGAAGTTAAACAAAGCAAGATCAGCTTTGTGTTCACTTTCCTTACTTTCCTGTTTATAGTAGTTAATTAAGTCATAAAGTTCAATCTTTCTTTTACAAAATAAAAACTAAATTTTCCGTCTTATTCTTTCAAAAAGATGAAACTGTATATTATGCTATACCATATAATTTTTTAAATAATGAATACTAACAAAATCAGAACAATAGTCGCGGAAGTGTTGAATATTTCTTGGAGAATTTTTTAAATACATAATCTAAATAAATGAGTAAACAGTGCATATAAAACAATACAAGCAACTATAATAGTAAATGTACTTACGGACCTGATAAGGGACTCGTAATTGTAGGTGTGCGTCCTGACCGTACTCGCCGTCCGGCAGCTGTATGCTGGGAGGTAAGCCGAGCCGTTCCGCTGCTGCGGCAGACCGCGCGCGCGTCTCCTGCTCCACCATCTCTTGCAGACGACCAACCATCGCCTGCAACCTCTGCTGTTTCTCCCATTCCCTGAAATAAGTTTTTATTTATTATAATATGAAGAACAATATGAAATTGGGACGCGGTTACTATAATTTTCACAGAAAATTTCATTTTATTTAGAGTATGAGAAATATACTCAGCAATTCTTAACAGTCAGTTTTTAAATTGTTAAGTTTATTTACGCGACTTAATTACGCGTGGAATTGATTTCTTAACTAGACTGAATAATGTGTTTTATTAATATTCTTTGGCTTGCTATTTCACCCATAACATCTGCAATTAACTTCCTGCAAACAGCTGTTTTGTCGTCATAGGCCTGATCGATTGGACTTAACTAATAATTGATCCGAGAATAATATTATGAATATTTTTGAATGTATTATTATAGGGTCATGTAGGTTTTGTAGTTGGGATTATTGATTTGGAACAATAGTTATTAATATTTGTCTGGAAGTATTATTCTAGCGCATGGTATCCATTTGATAGGAGTATTTCGATAAAACTTAGTCATTAAAACTATGACATTGCAAATTCAGTTAATTTAATTTATAAACTGGTGATGATAATAGCACGATATGATGCATTACTTTATATCTACCCATTATAATCAAATATGAGTTCGAAACTATATATTTATCCGCATAATTTAATGAATAATAATTGAATTATAATACTGCATAAGCGCACTCGCCTATCTACCATATGCCGACAACGAATCATCCCATATTTCGGCCATACAATGCGTTGGGCCATGAGAAGAAGGCAAAAGATTACCGACGTGGTCGTTCACCAACTTGTATATGTACCGATCAAGTGCAAGACTCATAGTTCTCAAAACTGTAATAAGAAAGGCGCTAGACAGAAACCGATGGAAACAGATAGCAACCGTCAGAAGAGAATGAAAGAGGCCTTTCCATACAGCATATAGCATACGTTTTGATAAATTTCGTAGACTACTCTACTACTATTACTCGATTAGATAATCACATAAATTAGAAATAAATCTACTACGTAGGTGCGTGTTCCGAAGATAAAGAGAAGAAACAATTCTTTTGACTTTAGCGTGTTATAGTCCTGATCGCTTATCATAAGTATCTTTCTTGATAAGTTCATTTATGTAGTCGCAAATTAATCATTATCGTACATTTCTTACAAACCCTAGACCAATATACCGCGCAAAATGTGTTAATTGAAATGTTTCATTGTATTCTAATGTGAAAAGAAAGCAATTGCCTCTTCTTTGATTATGAGCCTGGTGGCTTCAACGTTCGACTCTTATCCCTTATGCCGTTGGTTCGAAATGTGCACCACAGGACTTTCTGTCTATATGAGCATTTAACACTCTTAAGGTTATGAGTGAGGAAACCGGCATGCCTTCGACCCAAAAACTCGACTGCGAAAGCTGATCACTTACATGCTTGAAATAACAAATGATCACGAAACAGATACAGAAATCTGAGGCAACTGGGTTTTTTGATTAAGCTATGTATAGTAACATCTACAAACTACGACTCGAACATGTCTTATATAAAAATAATCTAATCGGATCAAAAGTATGTATAACCATATGATATAAGGAATTATTACTACATATAAGCTATTTCTTTTGTTTCAATGTATCGTTATACGCTGAAAGAGGGTTAAGTTAATCGTTTGAAAGGGGGTTTGTTAATCGGTATTCACTTTTGTTTTCGGCATTGGGGGATGAAGATCAAGGGGATTGATCTGCTTTGAGTGGCCATTCAACGGTTCATTTGATCGTGATGCCCCAGTCAATATTGTGCTATTGTATCGAGTACAAAGCTAGACTTATTTTTGAGTCATTTTTCTACTTTCATAAATGTTCAAAAGTGACATGTATGAAATATATTTCTACATTGCTAGCACGCGGAATGTTGTGGGATGTCAAACTAATAATAATTTCTTAAATTATTATGTAAAAGACTTGTTAAGTTAAACACTGCCGACTCGCCCCGGCTTCGCACAAGCAACCGTTACCCGTAAACGTAGAGAACTGAATTACCTAAATCATTCTAGATAATGGTGAAATCCGGAATAAATCTGTTTTTTTTGAGTTTACGACGGTGGTTAAGGTGGCGTTTTCAAAAAAAATTTGCTTTCGACCGTTTTTTCTTCGTCTTTGTAAATCTAACAAATTTTTAATTTTTGGGTTTATATATATGAATTTCGTATACACTGTTATATATATATATATAGTAGCAATGTAATTGTTATAACATGTTATTTGGAAAAAACACTTCAAAATGAGAGAGGGGATGTAGAGGCATGGTGCTGATATAAGATACTAGGGCTAATGCATAAGACACCACTAGACCATCATAAATCGGGTAGAAGCATAATGACCTTAGGGTATACTTACAATGAGGAATGATGGTGCCTGAGTTCGTGACGAAGACGCGTCCCCCCCGGCGCGCCCAACCGCTCCATGCCCGCGCACCCCGGCACTTGTACCGAGAGCATCTGTAAATCACAACACACTGCTCTCACTTATGTGGTCCTATGTAAGCTTGCACTTACACTTTATAAGACATATTAAATAAAAAACATTTTAACTAACAAATACACTTTGGTACTCATATACGTACGTTATCATAAATAATGTATAATGGCTACAAAAAATTGAGTAACTAAAAAATAACATTTTATCAGCTCAATGCCTGCGTCATTTTCTATTTCATTTTTAAACTTTGCTGGGTTTCGGACAGGGTCTCTGTGCATTAGTAACATAGTCTTGGCCTTATGATGCTAGACATGTCCAGTAACATTATTTACCCAGGTAGGTAAAATTAGAATCTAAAGACGTGATCTAGTCTTAAATGGTGTCAAAATGTAAATTTCCAGAAAACTTGTTTAATAGACCTTGAAATCAAATGCAAGTTAGTGACGTCATAAATGTTCGTTTAGAAGCTCTTTTGTAATTTGAAGCTAATGAAAAATTTCATTTTTGCATTTGCATCATTGCATTCATATTTTTACTAATAATTAATTAGCTAATGGGTATAAATAATTAGGATATGGCTCTCAGATGCCGCTGCCACTGACGATTTTTGTGATCTATCCTTTATTTATTCACTAATAAATATGGTTTAAATTCTACCCAATTCGTCTCTACTTTATTAATTGAATTATTTACATCAAAAAAATTGCGCGCAATGGTTTAAAGTGATTCGTAAGTGGTGTTTGTTTAAGCGTGCAACTGTCAACTGTGCGTTCGAACCAATAGATTTATTTCTATGTAATTAATAGTTGCTCATGTTGTGCAAATATCGTGCCGAAACCGGCAAGTCATAAAAAATAGACGACATGTAAGAAACAAATATTATCAAAGAAACGGCCAAGACCCATAGAGAAGTAGCGCCACTGCATTATTATTATTGAAATTATACTTCTTTTGGCGCGTTAGGGAAAAATTATGAGAGTAAATTTTTACGATGCGCGCGCACACCGTCACAAAAAGCCGACACCTGCACACCGTCACAAAAAACCTACAACCTGAAGTTAGCTATAGTCAACATTATATTTTGTTGAAGTTATACTTCTTTTGGCGCGTGAGGAAAAAATTATGAGAGTAACTTTTTCTATTGTTAGTGTCGTTTTTTCTACAAACGTAGAATAAGGTTAAAATATATAATTATAAAATTTTTAAAAAGATTTTTATCTTGTTACGCCAAAGAATTAACTTCTAACGCGTGTACATAAGTACACACACGTTTTTTTATTTTATTTGATCGTCTATGTCAACAGCATATAGCTATCATATAGCTATATAATATTGTAAATATGATGGAAAGAAAATGTTTCTTAGTTTATGGAAATGTAAAAATAGTCAGGGAACACAAACAATAAACAAAACTATTTTAAGAGAAATAATGTTTCGTCCCTCAAGACATGATATAAGGCGAAAGTGATTCTGTTAATTTTATAAACTTCGGGTATATGTAGAGATAGATTCGACTCGTAATACGTTTGCCTATTTAAGTTCTAGGAAGTGCTACAACTTACAATAAGCATTAAAATTTAATAACATTACGATAGCCTATTTGTAAACACATTATTAACCTACTTTAGAATAAGAAAAAATCCTTGCAAATTAAATAGTGGTTATATCGATAAACATGACATGCTTAATGAACCTCATTGAAAATTACAAAAATATAGCGAGAAAATAACAAAATAAACAGCATCGAAATTGACGATTGATAGATACTCTTTGCCAGACGAAAATTGGACTAAAAGGTACGTAGATAAATTTTTTAAATAAATCTAATTGATAAAATAACTTATATTTTTTATTTATTTATTTATTATAAATTTTTTTTTAACTTAAAGTACCAAGAGTACTTGTAAGAGTACTACGTCTCCTTTTGTGAAATACTTTAAGACATAACGGTGCATTTCGAGTGTAGTGTATTAATTTTTAATAATAATAATAAGGTGGTAAGATTATAAGTTCTATATTCGTAAAACGTATGGAAGGTATATCTAGTGTAATGATGAGGATAGCGATTTAGAAGATATTTGTTTTATATATAGTTTATATAATTTTTTTAAGAATATTAGTCTCGTTCTTACAGTTATGACGTGAAGTAAGCCTAAAGCCGAAATCATATTTCGAAAAGAAAATTTGTAAAGAATAAAAATCGAGGTAATTATGTTTCCATTCAGCCTGAATATATACTTGAATGTGAATCTTCGAAGTTTCCGACATTGCCACTTTCATTAATAGCCTCCAGATGATCGAGCGCGCACCTATGTAGTGCGAGCTATCCAGAGAAATACGAAGCAATTGGTTTTTATCATTCAACCTAATCTGCCTAAAAATATTGATAATTTATATACAAATTAAATTACTGTTATCCAAATTACGAGGCAAATGCTTACAAGTGAATATTTTCAAGTGCGTCATTGTTTGTATGCATTATGTGTCTTAGAGATAATAAATTTGTTTTAGGAGACATTTACAACACAATTTGTTGCATAAGTAATTTCATCATTTTGTTTATTTGAAACGAATAAGAATATTTGCGTGTTTTTGCCCTGCTTTTGTATATTTTTATTAAAGCTCGATATTGCAACGAACAGATCAATGTATAAAATAATTTTAATTGTTTACTAAAGATAAGGCAGAGTATTCGTTAGTATAAAACTGGGCTAAAGAAAAAAAACTCGTGCATACGTTTATATGTAGAGCATAGTTCGTTTTTACCTCTATATTTATGATAAAGCTAATAAGGAAGAAAGAAAGCTGAAATTGTATATTGATTTGTGTTAGAAATATAAATTACCTAGTTACGAAAACGTATTAGAACGAACGTGTTTTTGAGTGGTAATGGCTTTTATATAATGGCATATTATGTACCTTTTAATATCTTATAGATGTGATTAGGAACAGTGTAAAACATTTTTTTTCTAATTTACATAGGTAAGTAGGTTATATTGGAAACAAAATTTTAGATTACATCGAATTATTAATACAACTGATATTATCGAGTTGGCATGTCACGACTATCGCAAGAGGTGATTACGGAACTGTCTGTCATGAAAATTTATTTAAATTCACACAAACAACGTCTGGGCGTGACGTCGCTATCGCCGCGGCTCTTATCATTTGGCACGCTCCCGCCGTCTCGCGGCCGTTCCACTGCGATCGGACTCGGGCCTCACTCGCTACACTACAAACATTATTCTCTCATTGCTTTCTTTATTCTTTTAATGATTTATAATACGTTTTAATTGCTTACAGTTTCGTTAAGTTAGCTCTGTTTACTCAGGATCGCCAACAAAAAACATGAAAAAGATTTAACAATAAGCTTTAAGATTGTTTTGTCTACATCGGATGTATAGGTTACGTGCTATAAACTTACTATTTGAGTCAGTGCTGTCCACAATGCCGTGTTTTCTATCGATGGCAGGACTGTGTATATTTCAACTCCTATGACCCTCGAGTCACTTGTAAACGAATCGATTACACTATCATGTTTAACTTGCTCGCTGGTTGCAACACTACCACACACATTACAACTTATCTTGTAGACCTTAGAATATTTTTAAACAAAACAATCACAGGGCAATACACGGAGATTACAACACCCTTAAAGCACTTTACAATAATTAACTAACATTCACTAATAAATAATATATCGTTTTTGAATGTAATAACACTATAAAAATAAATAATTTGTAAAACAAAGATAACATGTAATATCCACTATCGCGAATTTTGTAACAGAGTTTCTATGAACTCTTTTTTTCATATTGGCAGTAATACGGCTGCCATCGAGCGAGTCTTGTTGTTCAATGACGCGGACGCGACCGCGGCGCGGCGCGGTGTTCGCAGTCGCGTAGCGGGGCGAACGGGCGGGCGACGCGGGTGCACCGGCTGCCCCGATGTCGCCGCACACACTCGCATCGACCTCGTCTTACGAGCACCTCCACACGTACACGCCGTCTGCTTGTAGTGGTGTGCTCAATTGGAAGCCGAGATGATACGGCGGATCTACTAGTGTGCGTGGTACTAGACGACAGTGAGTGTAGCATATGTGTACATATGGGGTAGCACACGAGTGAATAAAGCTCGATTGCTACCGGCGCGTTTATGTATGCGCACCTATAATAATGTAATAGTAAGCGATGACGCGTTTTGTCGGCTCGTGAGACGAGACGGTTGGCATTGCTCAATGATTGAGCTGTACTCGGGAGTTAAGAATTAAACGTAACAAACAAAAACCTAAGATGTAGTTAAAAATACTTGTTTTTTACTCTAGTTACTCTTATTCTTTATGAATAGAAGGCTTAACGCTATTTGCTACTAAAACGTAAGATCAATGATTTAAAAATAGTATATAGGTATACATTAAAGAGCGTCATTATGACTCATGGGCTTATCACTGAAAATTCAGCACAATTTGTCATCAACGCTTTTTTTAAATGTATCCTGTTCCTATTTTTCATGTTTCACGTTTTACGCGAACGCGGTTTTCTTATTTTCTATATCGTAGTTTAAGACATTAAAAATTACCAGTACCAAATTAATTAAATGCCAAACCTTTAAAACAGGAATGACATTTAATTTCGGTAATCACCAGTCAGATCGATGTGCAGTCATAAAGTTTAAAAAAATGTCACGTTTTAATATAGCCGTTGTAAAAAGTTCTTATTATACTTGCAAGCTCTCTTTGCTTTTACCTTTTTTAAATTATTTCCTTTTGTTAAGGTAAAGTCTCTACAATTATTGGTTAATTATTTCCCCGTGTAATAAACTAGAAAAAGAACCAAATATTTACTCCCACAATTACGTGCAATAAATTAGCATATAATATATGTATATGTACCAAGTTTTATATGAAATATATCCTATAAACTGCAAAAATGCGAAGGAATTCCCTAAACTAAGTTATAAGTCAGTAGGCAAGTGACATTGTTTTCTGTTCTAAAAATACAAAGTCTTAATAAAGTATTTATAATACACATTACTATTAAGTAAATGTAAGTAGGCATATGCCGTTACTATTTATTAATTGAATTGCTCCTGTATTGGGTAGAGTTTAACAACGAAATTCTAAGGGTAACATGCAGAGATGAGTCTTAGCGCGAACTTTGACTCCCGTATGACAAAATTCAATACGCTTTTTACATACGGGAATTTTTTGAATCTTTTAACACTGAAGTATGCTTAAGAGAAGTTGCACACACAGAATAATTTTTCTAGAGGTCAGTTTGAAGATAATCTTACATATAAAGTAATTTTATTGTATTCGAATTTGGGACCGCAGGTATTTTAAAACCACAAGATTTATCTTGGTTTTACTTTGTGTAAAATTGGGAAACAATATTGCATATATAATGGTAGCGTACTTACGGGGTTGGCTGTTGTAGATGTGTTTCCTGCGAGACGCCGGCGCAGCAGCGGATGTGCCAGCGCACCTGCGGCGCACAGCAACACTGCGCCGCCGATACATGCGCCCACCCACCACCACCCTGGAACGATCAGATAAACCTTCATACAATCTATAAGCGACTGTCGTTTCTGTTCTACTTCCGAAACCTTAGCCATGGCCATAGCACGAATAATACGAAAAATCAAATAATTATCGTTAAAGAAACTATAGACTTATGTTTGAAACACCTAATAAAAATAAATAGGTTTTGTTTAAACTTAACTTGCTCAAATTAGGACGATATTAACCTTTAAATGGCGAGTTTCCCGATCTAATGAAACATAGTAAAGTTATTCCTTTATTTAAAGCAGGTAGTATGTCCGACCCCAGTAACTTTAGACCAATTTCCGTACTACCTACTTGTAGTAAAATATTTGAAAAAATTATATTAAATCAACTGGTAAGTCATTTTAACGTAAACAAATTATTACATAATAATCAGTTCGGTTTTACCAAGGGTCGCTCGACAGCCGATGCCGGTGTTGAGTTATATAGATATATAGTTAAGGCTTGGGAGGAGTCGCATGACGCTTTAGGTGTTTTCTGCGACTTATCCAAAGCATTTGATTGTGTCCAACACGAGACCTTAATCGGGAAACTCCGCCACTATGGCATCAAGAATACCGCACTGAATCTTCTGACTTCCTATTTACACGGAAGAACTCAGAAGGTTGAAGTGAATGGTAAAAGGTCCTCTGGGTCGGCAGTAGATATGGGGGTACCACAGGTCTCAATTCTTGGCCCTTTCCTCTTTCTTGTTTATATAAATGATCTACCTTTCATGGTAGAGAGAAAACATCAGATAGTTTTGTTTGCTGATGACACGTCCTTGATTTTTAAAATCAAACGACAAATAACAAATTTTGACGATGTGAACAATGCTCTGTCTTCGATTGTCCATTGGTTTAGTATGAATAACCTTCTACTTAATGCAAAAAAGACAAAATGCATTAAATTTTGTGCAAAAATGCAAGGGTTATGGATACTAGACCAATTATAAACGGTGAGGAATTGAATCTGGATGATACAACTGTATTTCTCGGAATCACCATGGATTCAAAACTTCAGTGGTCCCCTCATATTAACGGATTGGCGAAGAGACTTAGTTCTGCAGCCTACGCGGTTAAAAAAAATTCGCTCACTAACTGATGTCGATACAGCTAGACTTGTTTATTTTAGTTACTTTCATAGCTTAATGACTTATGGCTTATTATTATGGGGTCATGCTGCTGATGTCGAAACTATTTTCATCCTGCAGAAGAGGGCTATTCGTGCAATCTATAATTTAAAATGTAGGGAATCTCTTAGAGATAAATTCAAGGAAATTAATATACTTACCTTTCCCTCGCAATATATTTATGAAAATATTATGTATGTATACAAAAATAGTGATAAGTTTACTAGAATAGAACATACGCACAATGTTAATACACGGAACAAACGCAGGCTGCAATTTCCCCGTACTAGACTATCTAAAGTTAGTAATTCTTTTTTGGGGAAAGGGATACTCTTCTTTAATAAAATCCCAGAGGCTCTTTTATCACTGCCTTTCAATAAATTTAAGAAATGTATTAAAGAAAAGCTGTGTAAAAAGGCTTACTATAAAGTCAACGATTATCTAGTTGATAAAAGGGCCTGGGACTAGTGCTAGACAGGCTACTTCTAATCAATTTGCGATATTTGTTTTAAATAAGTGTTGTTTGATGATTTGCTGTTTTAAAAGAGTACCGAGAGTTTTTTACGCCGGCTTTTTCTCTCGGCCTACACCCTCTGTCTTCTTTGCCGATGAGTAGGGATGCCTTCAAATTTAATGACGTGGAATAAGTGATACATGTATCTTATGTTCCATAATAAACATATTTTTATTTTTTTTTTTTTTAAATAATAAAGGGTCTCTACTGTCTTTTAAGACCCATAAGCACAGGAGAAATTCTTCGAAAGGTTGGGGTTCAAAGCAAGACGATTTCTAGAAGATAAATATAGTAATTTGACATTTTATAAATATTTAGTATTATTCTGCTTAGCCAAAGAATCAACATTCGTTCACTGTAAGAGTTTCGAGTATTCACCTACAATAGTAATTTTATTTAAAGATCATGCATACTTCTGTTACAATACAAATAGGATTACACGTGTTTATACTATTAAACTGAAACGACCTCTGGGAGGTGACGACTAAAATAAGGAAGAGTGAAGCCACGTGCTTCTAGTTATCCACTGTAATTGAAAAAGTGACCTAAACGGAACACTGTTCATATCTAAATTCAACTAAGATTATTCTGATATATATGTCAAAGCTAATAGAATTATTCAAAACGTTAAAAAGTTATCAGGTAACAAACAAAACTTCATTATTTAGTTCTTTTCTTGTGGGTTATGCCGAGAACAAGCAATTTTTATAAGAGTATGCAAGCTTTCTATCTTTAGTTGATGTTGCGTGCATAGGTGGGAGTAATAAAATTTTCCTTTGAGAACCTGTAAAAACCAAGCCACGTCATTCATGAGAGTGTGTCAACGGGACAGCAAATATTGTAATGTATTTGATATGTTAAATTTATTCATCTTCTATTACTATTTAATATTTGTTCTATTATATATATATGTATAACAAACCGAAATTCTGACTGGAATTCCAAGTTCGTAGCTTGAGTGAAAGGACGCATGCTGTTTCACAATTTCCTCCTCGTTCAGTCGTTCCCCTTCTCTTTAAAAACACGAGTAAGAACATTTCAGTTGACCCAGATGTAAGTAAAGCAGAGCGGTCAAGGGTCGCTCTAGGGCCAAAACACTCTGCACGGACGCACATACTTAACAAAAATTCGACATTGTTCGCCCAAGAATGCACAGCGCGGTTATTTTTAGTACTTAGAAGAGCGCGGGGGCGGCGGCGACGTCTGGTGTCGGTCTGCCGGGGCCTGCCACCGATCACCGAAATAACTTCTCCAGCTGGCGTTACCTGGCCACGTGGTGATCTTGCTCATGCTGCTTGTCCATACCTGTCTTCTCAGGTACGGGTATGCTTTACGTGGAGAAACTTTGGGTGTTAATAACTCACTCAATGTCGACCTTATCGGAGTAGACAATTCATCGTGTTTGTTGCACCTTGCACCTTATTCGACATCAATATATCGTGGCCATTGATACATCTACATCAATGCTCCGATTTAAAACAAATAACATGTTCTGAATGCAATCTTGATACAAGTACAATATTCAGAGTTAGCATTGTCGAGTGTGAAATTAGGTTTTCTTACATACATTATTTCTGACATGAATTTATGAAATATGAAATACAGATAACTTTTTAAATTCCAAAATTGTTTTTTTTTCAAATTGTTGATTGATTCTCATCTCTAGTCTCTTCTTTTGATTTTCCCCAAGTCAAAAAGAGATTATAACTCGAAAGTTTAATTAGAACGGAAACGGAACTGTCGGAACTTTTTACAATATTTTTAAAGGAAATTTACGCACTGTATATTTATAACAACAGACAACAAAAATAAGATGTTTCTAGTTGGTTGGAGAATTTAGAGAGATATTTATATATATATACTCAATAAGATAATTCAAATTCGACTTAGGGTCCGTCAAGAAAAGAGCGTACCAATTCTTGAATGGCCGACAACGCACTTTTTTTTTTGCGAGCTATCTGGCAATGGAGTGTCCATGGGCAGATAACAGGTGAGCCTCACTTAACATCAGATGAGCCTCCTGTCCGTTTGCCTCCTATTTCATAAAACAAATTATACGTTATTAAAAATAGCCGTTAATGTTTTATTATATACATATAATATATATGTTATAATTATACTAAAAACACGTAGATTTACGATGTAGCTCTCATTGCTTGGAAAACGCTGAAATAATTAGTAATAGTAGATTGTAAATACATCATCCTTTTGATAATTTCTTGGCGAATGGTGACTTGTCGGTCAACTATAACCAATTTAATAAAATATCGCGGTGTTCTCTTTATTAAATGATGATATGGGGTGGTCAGAGGGTATGAGGGGAGGATCGCTGCGACGTCTAGACGGAGTGTAATTAGGAAGGTGAGCGTAGGCAGTTGTGATACGACCTAGGCAGCCTACTTGCCTGTCCGTCCTTGTGGTATTAATATAAAAGAAAGTTTATATAATAAGTCTTTTTACCTTGAATAATCTGTTCAAGTATCTACGTACAAGCACTCCCAATTACAGCTACGGATTTAAAAAACTTATTTTTGTTATGGAAAATGTTTCATAGTCCGAATAAAACGAGTATTTTTTAATTTCTTAAATTATGAACAAAATGTAAGATTACCGCCTAGGACGTAGTCGCGCATGCGCTTAATACGATACGTAAAAATTTGAACATGCCTATTATTAACAAGCGTTTCTTTAGGAACAATATTTGAAGAAGTAAACCAACATCTTTTGGTCTTTGTATAGTATTGATTATAAACGTATTTTGTAATTATGTATACCAATAATAATTTACGTTATCATTGGAGATTTTTTGTAGCATGGAATTCGAATTGTTTAATATCTGGAGGAATATAATCCATTAAAATATTAAACTATTCTAATATTTTCATTAAAATAAGTTAGCTGAAATAGGTAAAATATAACAAATTTTTAACCATTTTGCTTTGTATTCAATTAAGCATTAGCAATTCTACGCAGATGAAAACACAATAAAACTTAATTCTTAGGTAAAATTTGGGATAATTCCTATTTTGGGACAACCGCGATCACTTGTGCCTTTCCTTCAAGGAGACATTGTTCGCAGCCTATATTTGCTCGTGTCCTCAAAATAGTACAACTATGTGAGGACACCGACGTATAAATTATGTCTGTTACAAACTTTACTACATTTTGAACATAACTTTTCTGTAATAAATATTTAAGTTGATTCAAAAGTTTGACTGAAAATGCTTGTTAAAGGTATAATTTCACCCACCCCGTATCCCAGTTTAAATAGTTTATTGTAAGCTAGAAACGGCGCTGATTTATTAGACAACAAAACGATTGTTATAATATATATATATATCAATACCGCTACAACCTTTTTAGGTCTGGGCCTCAGATTTCTGAATCTGTTTCATGATCATTTGTTAATCTAATAGGCAAGTAGGTGATCC